CAACAGAGGATACAAATAGTCCGAGCCTGCAGATGAAGGCAAAGGAAGGACATAGGGGCCTTAGAAAAGAGATGAGAGAGAGTTTACAGCCAGCCTGGACAGTTGCTTGAGTTGAGCATCCTGGACACACAGGACACGCTATGCTTGCACAGACCTGACCATGTGCAGCAAGTGGGGCTGACGTGCTGCAGCAGCAATTTGTCAGGGAGCTGTGGACATCTGGCTGCCTGAGCTGCTCTACAGTCAGAAACTGGAAGCCGGACCAGAAGCACGCAAGGCAGCACAGACAGGACCATGGCTCCATAGCTGAAAGTTGTGGGACTTGTCTGGAAAGCAGCTGAATTTTGGTCTTTTCTTGTGAAAACACATTTTCAAGGCTCCCCAAAAGCAGGCTGCAGTGTGATAACCCTTGCTTATGCTGCATGGGCAGCTCCTGCATTGCTAAATCTCTCCAGAAAGGTGATTCTGAGAAAAGCCTGGAGAGAGGCAGGTCCTGAACAGAGAGCTGGCTGACAGCGACGTGGAACAGGGACCAAAAGGACTGTCACCTGCAGCTTGAGACCTCCAGGGAAAGCATAGTTTCTGAGATTTTCTGTAAGTAAACAGGATTGCCTCAGAGAGACAGCTGACTCCATCTTCGGTTTCCCGTGAAACACCTGCAGCTCCACACATTTGGCTAAAGTTTGGGTCAAAAAAAGGCTAACATTAATATAATCAAAAGTAATGTCATGAATTTAACCGAGTGAATGGTTTCTAAACAGCCGAAGGTCTTTTGGGCTGAGGACTGCTGGGATTCTGGATTGGAAACTTGTCAGTCTTTTCCAGAAATGCCAGTGAGGGTTAGAAAGGATATGGAGTATATCCTCAGCAGCAGCTTGATTGGCCATGTGTTCCCAGAGAGTCCAGAAAAGCTTCCACCCCCATGGAGACATTTCCAGCGCCCTCCAAAGATATGCTTTAGGGCTTCAGCTCTGGTGCTCTCCCTCTACCCCATTTCCCATTGTGGAGAATGGGACCAGTGCTGAAGACCACAGTCCTGGCATTGCTCATCATGAGCTGAACTTAAAGAACATGAAGGATTCACACCCTGAAAACAAACATCTCCAAATCATATCCTGAGTATTCCCTTAACTCTATATCATCTTACTTACTTTGTCCAGTTCCTTAGGTTCATTTTTATTCCCAACTTTACTCACAGCATCTTCCAGAGCTCTTCCAGTTTCTCCCCACCGATCTGTTCCTTAGATTATGTCTCTCAATACAGAACTTCTCTATGGCTGAAAGCATGTTCCCTCCCAGCCCTTCTCATCAATATTGGAAACCCCCTGATGGTAAAGAGCACCTTGTTGGTTATTCTCACTGTGTTGACAGGTAAATCAGCCTGGAGGAGCAAGGAGCTTTCTGCCCTCATGCCAGTGGAGGACAGCCTCCCCTCCACCACTGCCAGCGGTCTCCAAGAGTACAGAATAACAAAACAAATACTTCTGAAAAGCCTAGGAAACGTGTGAATACAGGTAAAAGGTTTCTTTACACTACCTGCTTTGTGTGGTGAAGAACACCAATGGGTAAAGAAGCTGTTGAAGCCATTTTCTTTCCTTTAAGCAGAGGCAGCACCAATTTGCCGGGTTTAATATAGTAGCACTTATGATAAATATATGCAAAACTGCTGCAAGCAGTAGAAAACTGCTTGCCATGTGGTCAGATTTTATACAGAATAAGCCATGTGGTTTGGATGCAGATTCCGGATACTGAATGAGAGGAGGAGAGGATGAGTTTTGTGGTGTGCATGTGTGTGTCCATACCCAGTATCTATACTATACAGCCCACACTGTAAGCTATATCATTTTAAACTGAAGAAACTGAAGAAAATATTGCCAAAAGCAACTGGTATGTGCACGAATTAACAGATTTTAAAGCTAAAATCTCTTTTTTATTCTTTACTTGTAGTCCACTCAAGTTTCAGTTGTTTCAAAGGACTTTCAAAAAGAAAACAAAAAAAAAAAAAAGAAAAAAACCTGAGCAGCAATTTGAGCTTATGCTTTGTGTGGAAGTCTCTGGCTTGAGCTCATGAAAGTATTTTGCTTTATCTTTTATTCAAGGCACGAGCTGCTCAGAGCCTACAAGTTCTCACATGGTTTGCTCCTGTAACCCAGGCAGTTTGCTGAAGGATCCATCCCACTGAGCTATATTTATTATCCTGGGGATTTTTTTATTTGTCTCCCAGTAGAAGAGCTTTTTTAAACTCATTGATACACTATTTGGGTATTAGCCATTGGGACGCTGAGTGCACAGGTGCTTTGAAAGACATGCACTGTTAAGTTACAGAGCAGCTCTGCTGTGATATTTTGACTTTTGGGTCTCATTGTTTAAAAAAAAAATAGAAAATGCAGCAATTGACTACATTTCATTAGAGCTTTCCATCCAGCAAACAGGCCAGAAGAATTCCTTAATCCTGTACGTTTCATTTTGGGACCTTATATGTAATATCAAACAGACTAAAGGAATTGCATCACTCCCTGATTCAGCATATGCAGACCGTTGCTGTTGAAGTTTCCCAGTCAATCCATCCTCTTCCTTCCAGACATAAATAAAGTCAGGAGTGGAAGATTCTCTTCAAGGAAATTTATCTCCTTGACAGTCAAACAGGTGGCGAAGTTAATGCGAAGTCCCGAGAGAACCTGGTTGGTAAGAATGGCCCTGCAATAACTAACCACAATGATTTACAAGGGACTAAATTGCCAGATTAGGCCTTGATAATTTTTCAACTCTTGACTTCATTATTACCTTGTGGATCTGGATCTTACATCACCTCTAGGAATGCCTGGGATCAAATTAAAGTGGAAACACCTGGTTGAAAGTCAGTTCAAAATACAGATTTAAGAACAAGGGGGCTGTTTTTGTGTGCTGGATCTGCTTTTCATGCACGGTAGATTCTGTTTCTCTGTGTTTGAGCTCTGTTTTCAAATGCCAGTTCGTCTTGAACGGCGCTGGCTAATAACCACTGCTCTTTGCAAGGGCACACACTGCTTAGACAGCCACAGATCTGCCATGTGAAGCAGTTTTAGTAGTTAAATGAAGTTTCCAAGTGAACTGTTAGACCAGGATTAAAATCTACAGTTTGATCTAACACAGCATAACTATCTGGAGAAGAAGGCAGAGGTACTCATGCACCAAGGATTTGCAAAGAAAAAAGATGATCCAGTAATTTGACATGAAAACCATTTTTTCCAGTAATTGTGAGATCCAGATAACAATATTTACCAGGAATCTGTAGCCTGATCAATGCAGTGGAATGCTCACAGGTACAGTGGACAGTGATTTAATGACTGGAGACTCAGTACTACTACACAGAGCTGTTTGAGAAGTGTCTCTTGCAAGCTTTATATCTGCTCCCCTTTGCATCTCAGTTGTCCTCCAGCAATTCTGCTTGACTGGGATGCTGCAGCCTGAGTTCATGGCTGGGTTACTGTGAGACAGGGATCTCAGCACTGGTACAGAACAGGCAAAGCCGTATGACAGAAAAGCAGTAGGACCCTTTCATGGAACACCAGGTTGAAAATAGATTTCTCTTGCTGCCTTTTCATTGGATGACCCGGCAGCAGTCTGGACTAGAGAAATCATTGGAGTTTGTTCTGCTGCTGCTGGCACACAAGCAGTGGCAATTTCAGCAGAGAAAGACTCCACTTCCCAGTGAGACCCACTAATTTGAATGGGAGCCTTGCTGAATGGCTTCAAGTGACAGATCTGGCCTAACTAGCATGATCATTGAAAAGTAAGCAGTTCAACCAGGTACAGATACAGATACAGATCTGGAGCCACTCCTGGAGGGTACCACTGCACATGGCTGACAGCACCAGTGGGTATGACATGATGTTCAAAGGGTACTGGTGGGGCAGGGAAGGACTTGTCTCCATGTTTCAGCAAACGATGCATTACTTTGTTCTTTTTAAGGAGTAAGGGTCTTCCATGTGTGAGCCTTTCTGTTTGAAAAAGCTGCATGTGAAACTGGCTCCTACCTGGCAAGAAGTCAAAGGTGCTTGACAGAAAACAACTGCCCATGGGGGCACTGGAGCTACCTGGAGAGACCACATTGCCCAAGGGATCAGAGATTCTTAACCACCTATGTAAACTCCTATTCATGCACTATATTACCTTGCTGTCTCCTTCTGCCAGATGAAATGGGTGTTAGGATATGTGTTCTCTTCTAATGGCCTTGTGTTTAATTTTTCCAGGGCTAGAGATTCTTTCATAGGCCTGTAGGCAGACAATGCAGCACAACAGCTCAAGGGCCAACTTCTCCAGCACAGAAGGTTGGGCTACAAAAATCACCCCCATGCATGGGCCAGCCTGCAAGTGGTAACTCTCTCTCCTGTGTTGTTGTGGGCACTTGAGACTTCCTGGTGTAGGATGGGAGAGAAGCAAAAGCAAGAAGAGAGTGGTAAATAACTTCCTTTTTCCCCTCATGAGAGTGACTCGACAGATGGGGAGCCCTTGCTTTGCCCATGCAGTTCAGTTCCTGCACCCCCTGGGGTCAGACCTGTCACCCCCAGCAAGGAGGAGAGGGGAGGAAGCAGCACCTTGGCAGGTGAGAAACCTCAGAGTCCTGACCATGACACTGGAATTGTCTTCAGGGAGTGGGACTTGAGGAAAAACTCCAGACAGTGACAGAACAGGAAGTTACAGCAGCTGTAGGAGCTGTGGTTAATGAATTTCCCAGTGGGGCTTTAGCTTTTGCTCTGCCTTGCTCCCCCAGGCCCAGAGTGCTGTATTAGTTTCTCTGCTTCCCAGCCATCCTGGTCCCACAGGCTGTTTTGTGTAAGAATTTTCAAGGCAGCAGATTGTGTTATGAGTCCCCAGTGAGAGAATCATTTTAGGTCCAATTCCAGATATTTAATAACAAAGGCTTGGCTTCCCAAGGTGAATCCCAGGAACACTGACAGCATCCCCACATCTGATCCTTCAAGCATCAGGAGGAAGGCAAAAATGAAAATATGGGTGGGTTTGGTTTTTTTGAGAAAACAAGAAACTTGGGTCTCACAAGCTCAATGGTTGTGGAATTTCATGTGCAGTTTTGCCCCTTCAATAAAAAGGGGCTACCTTGGCTGACCTGACCACTCCTATTAGATGATCTTCAGAGGAGAACCTTCACAGGGGACTGCAAATATTTATCATACCAAAAAAGCCACAGAAAGTTCAAAGCTGCTTGTTGGAGACTCTGGGAACTCTCACCTCCAAGTCTATCATCCTTGCTGATTTCAGCTAAAATCTTGCATCTTTTCCAGGAATGGAGAACCTGGACACAACTTTCTTCAAGTCCCTGTCCCATCCCAGCTGTAACCCAAGTTGGACAGTAGCTTGGTGAAAGTTACTACTGATCTCTTTCAGTAAAGGAGAAATAAACTGTTTCCTTAAGAAAACACCATCTCGCCAACAGCTGTGGCTCAGAATTGCCTGGTCTATAAATAAGGTCGCCACATTAAAATACAGTTTGAATTATTTTTAAAAACTTATTCCCAAAGCTTATAACCTCTTCATGGACCTGGCATTATTGCAGAGAGCTTAGCTTGTTCCCCCCTCCAGTAAGGACAATCACAAATCTTCTAATTGCTTCATTTATTCTAGTTTGCTACATGAAATAAAGATGTCACAGGGGTAAACTGGGAATTTCTGAGGAATACTGTGGTGGTTCTGAAAATCCAGGTTGCTCAAGCAGTAGTTCAGTCCAGTTTAGCCATGGGACCTGCAAAGTGCACATGGCAACAGAGGATGTACTATAGGAGTCACACGTGATTTTTAAATGTAGAAATTGTTAGTTAAACCACCAGAGAAGTGGTCACTTCTGTAAGTACAGAAATAAAATACTGAGAGCACTTGTTGAATTCACTTTTATTTTGAGTCACTGCAAGCCGGGAAAAGCTGGCATTTCTTATCAGGTTGTTTGGACAGTGGATATGAGTGAGAGATGAGAAAATCCATGCATCAGTGTTTTTGCTGGACTGTTCTACTTTGTGAGCCCTCCACTGGAAGCCTTGGTCTCATCTGCCTCATGCTTATTTCCCACCACTGTGAGCACTTGCTGGCCAAGAAGCTGGCAGTCCTCAACATTTCAAGCACTGCAGTTCACAGGCAAGCCCTGGGAAAGCAGAGGCCTTGAGGAAACACTGGTCCCTCAGAGCCGTCTCTGCATTAGGGCTCCCACTGTTGCTATCAGAAGTGAGGTTGAACTAGTAGGAGTAAGAAGACAAGAACTGCTGATGAAACCTCTGTGCAGATACCCATAAAACAAAGAGCACTGGCACTAGCTTGATTTGGAAATATTTAGGAGACCTTAATTCCAACCTCTCCTCCAATCCTGCTGTTGACATGAAACTACTTACCTTACATGCAGAAGTTTAACTAGCCAGGAGCTTCTTTCTAAAACAGCTGAAAAGGTTAACATTCCTGGCTCTGAGTGTGGCAGGAAAACCTAACATCCTAATCACACTTCCTCCTGCCCATTAATTACTGATGTATTCAAAGACTTAACTTCTATAGAGTAAGGTTTGTTCTGAACAGTGGATCAAACTGTTCTTGCTCGTTAAGAAAACAAGTTTAAGCTAACCTTGCTTATCCATAGCTTAAGTGGACTCGTCCCAGTGAAAGTTTGTAATTATCTTCCAAGGGCTCATTTAGACGTGACAGCTGATGCAGATGAGAGTACAACAGGCATTCAAAATGCTCTGGCTAGTCCCAACTAAGTCTCAGAGCACAGAACTTCTTACTCCAAAGCATTGCTTTTGTTTGAGTTATGCTGAAACAGTTTATGCATATTGAAAAATATAAAGGCACACACACACATACAAACATAGGCACACACTTAAACGTGGTTATTCCAGAATAACTTCTGAGCAGATGTGTGTAGACAAGCCCTCATAGATGAGCTCAGGACTATGGCTGCCTGCAGCTGCGATGAGAAGGGCTGGATGTCAGCACACGAGCTGGACGCTGCGTGTACACACACGCTGTAACAGAAGCTGCTAGCACGGGGTATAGAGGGGAGATCCCTAGAGCCATCTTAGCACCCCATTCTTCCTCTCCTGCTAAAAACCTGTCCCCAGATACAGCTATTAGCTTTCCTAATGGTTTAGCTCTACCTACTCCCTACATATTGCTGCCACAGCAGCTTTTATTGATAACTGGATTAGGAAAGCAAGGCCGCAGTTACCCATAGACACGGGCCCAGACACACAGTTTGCCAAAATGCTGTCAGTCAAAACGGGATAACACTGAAGGAATTTTGGTCAGCCTGTATGGCCAGCGATGTGTTTAAAGGTTTCATTTTTCCAAAATACATTACAGCTCCTTGGCTAAGAGCTACCATTGCGCTGCTTAGGAAGAAGGAAGCCAATCCTGCCAATTTAACTTCTCCACAGACACACACAAACAACTCAGTCGTGGCTTCCGCCCATTCATCATTTAGCTCAAAAGCTTTTTTTTTTGTGGAAGAAATGAATTGTTTGTGTACTGTCAGCATTAAGCAGATAGACAAGTATGTAAGCTGGAATGTTATTTCTAAAATTATTTTAAATATTTGGGTTGTCCACTTAAACTATGCTTAAATAAAGCTAGTATTAATTTCTTCATTTCTTTGATGGCATGACAGAGCCATACTTGCTGTCATTACATACAACAGCATTTAATGGCCAGGCTGAAACACGACAGGCTAATAAGGATACCAGGTTTGGGGGTTTTGTGTATCTACACTTCTAACTTTGCTGAGAACTGTCCCTAGACTTCCCAGCTTTTTTTTGCAAGGGAGGGGAGCAGCTGTGTGACTAACCATCTGGAATTTAGGGTTAGGATCTTCATGACAAAGTGCACCTTAAATCAGGTGCTCTCATTGACCAGTTCTGCCCAATTCACTATTTTGGGGGTTGGGCTGTTAGAAGACCTTACCTCTGTGATAGACAGTTTTATTTCCTGTTTGTGGGGTATGAACTTGGCAGCAGTGGAAAATCGAGCAGAGCCCCAAAGCTTCTGTACTTGGAAAACTTGGGTTTAAAGAAGTAATGGACAGAAGCAGACTCTGAGGCTAAATACTTACCAGATTACTATTTGTGTTATGATCACCTGGCTTTGTAGAACAGATTCTCGAAACTCATCTTCTCAGAGATAAAAATTAGGTATCACATTCAGAGGTTAAATGAATGCTTTTATATGCATTAAATTGTTTTGCAGATGACAGAATGGTCTGTAACTTAATCCTTTAATTTATTTAAATTATAATTTACACAACTTTGATTTCTCTAAATTTTCCCAAGTTGCTCCTGAAGATAAGGCTCAGCAGAATTTGTCTACACACCAAAGTTACAACAGACTACGACGGTGTTTGAATGCAAAGAATAATCCTTGCTCCTGAATTATTTATTTATTATGAAGCAAAAGAGTATTGTTCCTGATCAGCTTACCTCACTTAAGAGGTCTTCTGCACGTCACTATGATGCAAGCTGAAGCATACGCTTATTGTGCATTAACAAGTCCGCATACACCACCCGAACACGCCTAATGGGGTGTGTGGAAAAGAACAATTTATACTATATCTGGATCAGGTGATCCAAGCTGCAACTACATTAATACATAAAATAAACAAGCACAAGGTACAGGAAACTACTAACACCAAAAGCAGATACCTGAAGCAGAGATACTCCCCAGTTGCTCTCCTGTAGCAAGAAAGCAGCCAGCTCCTGTGTTGTGAAAGTATCTAATGATCAGATAGAAACACAACTAAGACTTACCAAAAAATACCCAATTCCATAAATCAGTGCCTATTTCTCTTCACTGACTGTAGATGCATCAATGGTGCAATTTGTCCTGCTTACTGGGAAGTACTGCACTACAGAATGACCTTCAAACACCTCACTTACATGACTGTAAGCTTAGCACCATTAAGCTAGGAGGTTTCTGAGAAAACTGTCATCTGGTGCCTATCATGTCTGGCAAGACAAAGATGGGAAGATACCAAGAGGTGCAGCCATATTGGCTCACCCAATTTTACCAGTAAACTACAGAATGAAGGAAAGTGTTCCTACACCAAGTTACTAGTTTAAAGTATTAATTTTAAACTTCTACCTAAGCTACTTAAACAACACTGGTTTTGTGCTAAAATAATGCAGTCTATCAGTTAGCCACAACCCTGAAGAGACGGTAATTCTCGTCGTTTCTAATCAGTGTTAAAAGAAACTCTCAGCATCACATGGTATTTGCAGTAGTTTAGGGTAATCTAAACAGGGGAAATCCCAGTTCCCACTCCATCCTCAGTCACAGGTCTTCTCTTCCTGCTTCATAGGAGGCACCCATGCACCTGGGAAGCCACCAAGTCTATAGAAAACCCTCTTTTACAGGTGACCAGCTTCTTTATGTGCTGTTTTGTTTAAGGTGTGAGTAGAGGTGGCAGAAGTTTCAGAATTGTTTCTAGAACACCTCATCTGTATCAGGAAAAAACTAACACTTTGAATTTGTTTCTCTGGAGGCTTGAACTGAATTTAAGCCCTATTTCCCATTCTGCCAGACAAGCATTGTGCATTTTGTTAAGTTTGGAGCCACGGGTGTCTCCAGGGATGTTGTGTGCAGTAACTTTGATATTACTTCACAAACTAAAATATAAAATTAGCCTCAAAGATCCTCCCCACAAGCACTTCTGCAATTCTCACCAGATGTACAAGATATCCAATATCCCTTTTCTCTATATGTACCTAAATGACTTTTGAATAGGAGATTAAAGGAACAAGACTTAGAAATATGCTCAGAGAGTGCACCAGTCATGAGCCACCCCTCATGAACTACTGTATTTCTGGAATAGTAGTAAACTCAGAGAAACAAAGATGACAATGTATTTGATAATTAAAGTAGAACTCTACAAGCCCTGAAACTTGCTTTAAGTCTGTAAGCATTGTAAATTGGCATGATACTTTATAGAAGTTTGGTATTACTTGGTCAGCTTCTTTTTTTTTTTCCTTTTTGTCTGGCTAAAAAGTGCCTTGAGTATCAATATATCAAAATTTAGAAGTTGCTTCTTAATCCAACATGGCAATATAGAGACATCTTAGAAAAACAAATGTGCGTTAAAATAATGCTGTGTAATAGAATGAAATTTGCTGTACTTGCTCTTAGTGACTCTGCTGTAAGAACTCAGAAGTTAATTTGGCCCTGGGGAAGTCATTAAGAGGCTTTTTCAAAGTATGGGATTTTGAGCAAGGGTTAATGCAAACAGTTTTTTTATACTTTAATTTCTAAACAGGCTTAGTTAACAACACTATTCTCCACACAGATACCAGCTTATTTTAGATGTATGCTATATATGCAGTAATAACTACAACTGTAGTGAAACTACGTTTTTTAATTGAAGGTACATTTTTTAATTGAAGCTACGTTTTTTAATTGAAACTACTTTTAAAAAAGCACTCACACGACAACGTTTTTAAATAGATCTAAAGCTCCATACAAAACCAAAATGAATATTCTTCAAAAGCTCTTTGACCAATTACTTCATTGATGAGTTTAGAAACCAGAGAGAAGTCAGCTTCTAAAGCCTAATTTCACAGTACTGACTGATAAGAGATTACACTGTAAAACCATGCAGCTGACAAAGTGGCTATAGGAATTGAGCAATACATTTCTGAACTGTGTTGATACTCAAGAGCTGTGGATCAGGCACAAGTAGTTTGCATTAGTTTAGTCTTTAAAGGAAGCATTCCAGTCACTGTTTTAAGGAAAAGGTGGCTCACTTTAATAACCACAGGCATTGGTCACTATTTAACAAGACATTCTAAAAAAGTAATCACAATTTCTCCAATAGTAGTTTACAAGTGGATGGTATACATTAAGATACAGAGGTAGAAGTTCACTTTTACAATGCTTCACTAATACAGATTACCAAATTCAAGGCACACAATTGTTCGCTTTACAAAAAATACTGTAAAAATTCAGTTGCTGTTCTACAATGTGAGTACAACTCAAAAAAAATCTTTACACCCTTCCATATTCTGCATGTAGAGTTGCATCAGGCGTTATTCTATTTTTCCTTTGCTAATAATGGGCACATGACCAGCACTTACATAAACAGTTTGTATCTCAGCTGAGTTGCTTTGTCTTTTAGGCACAAGTCCAGTTACAGAAATTGAATACAACAGCTTCCTCAGGGGGATGAGAGAACTCTGGCAAAAGAAAGAATGAGGAGGAAGAAAAGAAACATATAACCATAACAGTAGATTGGACTCTGACATTTAAAGGGAAACAGAACAGAGCTTATTTCAAATCAAGCGACTTGAAAAAAGTCAGTTTAAATCATTGACTGCATTCCTAGAAAACCAGATGCCCAGTACAAGTTTGCTCTGAGAGTATTTAAGACATTCACTTGCCTTTGAATTGGCAGAGATTTACAAATTTCTTTTTATCTTTAAATAGAACACACAGCTGATACAAAAGAGAATTACACCACAATTGGGCCATGTGTCCTTCAGAGCTTGGGTGAACAAGTGAAGAGATGCATTCAGAAACTGTCCTTGAATTTACTAAAAGGTCATGAGCAGTAGCTTAAAGGGCAAGATTTCCCTCCCCCTTCTCAAACAACATAGGGAAAGACAAACTATTTCTGAAACATTGCATCTTCTAGTAGGAGACAGTTCTTACAAGCCTTGGCAGGCTGAGGAAGAGATAACACACAGTGCATCCCTACAAGTATTATGACTTGTTTACTGTACATACAGTGATATTCTAAATGACAATCGTGGCAGCTACATTGTAAATTCATTCTGTATATCTATCAAGTACTCTAGTCAGTTTTATTTACAGTATATAAAAAAACCCATTGATTTTTAGAGTTCAATACACAGGTTTAGGACCCAAGAGAATGCCACAGCAAGATGCTGACATTTGCATCTGTTAGATGCAAGTGCACTTCGCAATTCAGTCATGTAACATTATTGTATTCACCTATAAATGTTAGTCCATCCAAAATAGTGTTACATTCCATTTTTCGCTTCATTATTGTTCATAGCCTGTTTCCTTTGAGCGATGAAAGGGTACATACACTTGTCCGCTCCCAAAAATCGATACATGCATACCACTGCTTCGAAGGGCAGGATACTGTGAAAAACAGGTTAGAAAATTGTTAGAGGACAGAGTAAAACAAAACCTCTGCTTTCACTATGTACTTGGTCTCCTTAAAAGCAATATAACAGTTATTAGAGAGACTAAAAGACTTGAGGGATTTTTTTATTTCACAGGGATACTTAGAGAAATTAAATTCTAGAGTGCTAAGCATGCAGGTAAGCAGAAAGGAGTACGCTGCATAGTCACATGCCTCCATCTTAGGACAGATTTTCTGCTGTCTCTTCACAAGCAGTAGGATAGCTGGTTTTAAAGAGGTGGAGGAGGGAAAGGTCATCACAGGTGGTCTACTGAAAGCAAAGCATCTGCACAAAGCCACATCAGTGGAGGTCACCAGATATTGAAGATATTCTTTAATGTGGGATTAGCACTAGTTAATGCCATTCTTTGATCACCAAATGTCTAACTGCCTTGACTTATATTCTAAACTCAATCATCCATCTTCAGAGAGAGCCAAAGTAAAGAGAGCAATTTCCTCTCTCCCTCTCCAGATAAAATTTCAGGAAGTGTCTATGTCATGGGTACCTGACTACAGACCCTCCCCTCCTTCCCACATCTACAAAATAATTCCATTTCAAGTGCAGTACTCAGGAACTCTAGTGAAGAACTAGAATGGGATTTCCTCAGCCCCAGGAAATAGCAGCAAACATTCATTCAGTGGAAAGCAGTGCACAGAATCTAGCCATTGGGAGTAATGCCCACTGAAGCACTGAGGAGTATGTCACAGTACAGGTGTCCTCCCTGCTAGTAGTACTGCTTCTGCATTAGTGACTGGAGGGCCTTTGATCTGTGCTACTGCCTGAGGCATGGATTATACAGAAGCTTTGATCTCCCTGTTGGAAGCTAAAGTGTTGAACCAAGGCAACACGAAGGGCCTTTGATGTGACTCTTGCTGCATAAGGCACTGTTTTTGCAGAGAGCACTAAAGGACCCTCTGAGCTTCTGGCTGAAGAAGCTCGTTCTTAAAGATGCTGACAGTGGCCTTGATTTGTTGGCAAAGACACACATACATACACTCTTCCAGGGAAGAGGTGAGTGATGATGGTTCTTCCAAGTCTTTGGTGAGCCTATCCACCATGAGAGACTTGAGGCAGAGAAGAATAAACGTGCAGATGGAACAGAAATCACCAAGGTTCTCTGTTTCAACCATCCCTCACAGAAGGAAAATAAGACAATCCTATATTTTAAAGATTCTTTCTACACGCTGCACATTTAAAACAAAAACAGACAGCTGTGAGGATGTCCTCTATAACAGAATGCAAGTGATGTTGCATCAGTGGAACACAGCCAACTCCTGTATTACCCTGCATCTGTGAAATGTCAGCCTAGTTATAGACTGAAGTGTTCCCATCCAAAAACTGTGGCATGATAGAACAAAGGAGGTAATATTCCTTTAAATAGCCCTTCTTCCAAACTTAGACTCTGAAAAATGGTTCTGAATGTGCAGATTTGCAGTTTATCTACCATATCTGTACAAGTCCTAGAGAGTCTGTAGGCAGGGCCTCCTACACATTGGTTCTAGAGACAAACAGCTAGAGGCTGTTTTGCTGGAAGCTGCATCAGGGCCCCATTCCTAAGGAGGAACCCAAATAATAGAAATAAGTCAGTTGAAAAGAAAGTAGGAATCTAAGAAAAAAGATACGAGAAAGGTAAAACAAGGATGCATAATACA